ACACACACACACACACACACACACACACACACACCAAAAAAGAAGGAAAGAGAGGCTCTGGAGGTAGAGTTACCCACCCAGTTCACATAAGCGAGAGACCCAGGCCAGGAGTCTGGGGCCCCATGCTGTACCAGTGTGCAGCAAACCCTCCACAGAGGGACAGAGGGTAAACATTCTAGGCTTCACCATCACAATCGCCATCACAACTACTTTACCCTGCTGGTGCAGCTCAAAATCAGCCAAGGGCAATATGTGAGCAAACGAGTTGACCATACACCATTAAAACTTTATTTATGGACAGTGAAAACTAAATTTTATATGAATGTCATGGGTCACAAAATGTTTAGATTTTTTTTTTCAGCCATTTAAAAATGCAAATGGGGCTAGGGTGCCTGGGTGGCTCAGTCTGTTAAGGGTCTGGTTCTTGGTTTCAGCTCAGGTCATGATCTCACAGCTTTGTGGGTTCGAGCCCCACATGGGGCTCTGTGCTGGCAGTGCAGAGCCTGCTTGTGATTCTCTTTCCCTCTCTCACTGCCCCTCCCCCACTCGTGCTATCTCTGTCTCTCTCAAAATAAATAAACTTAAAAAAATTTTTTAAATAAAATAAAAATGCAAAGGGGCATTTTCTTCTCACAGGCCATACAAATCAGGCAATGAGCTGGATTTGGCCCCAGGGAGTCATGGTTTGAAGACTCCTGATTCAGGGACAATTTTGACATAACTATTACTTTATTGTTGTATATATAATTCTCAGTTCACATAGTATGATTACTGTGACAAATCTATATTGATCCTTATTTTTATTCTCATTTTCCCTCATAAAAGAAAGCAAGATATAGCTAAAAGAGAGAAATAGCTTTCTCTTCCCACCCACCCATGTTTTCCTATATTTTCTTTTAAACGACTTAATGGATCATCATCAAGACGTTAATGCTGGAAAAGTGGGAACTTGAGATACAAACCCATTTCAAGCTTCCCAGTTTCATGATATACATTCTGACAGCTTCACCCATAGAGAAATAGTACTGGGTGCTCAACCTTAACTTTTCTTTTTATCTCAACCAAGGGGCTTGACATATTACATGTTACCTTTTTGTAGATGCCAAAAATTGTTCCAATGGACACAAGGCAGTCAATATTGGAAGATCCATCGAGGGGATCAAAACAGACCACATATTTACCCTGAGCAGAGAAAAAGGAAATACAACTTTACTTTTAAAATTATAGCAAAACAACAAGAATACACTAAGGGGATAAAACAAGGGACTCTAGGGGAAAGTTCAAGAAATGTGAGTCATTTATCCTCTGTCATGGAAGGGATAAGGTGGCATACAGAATGAAAACAACAACAAAGTATACATCCCAAAAGATCATTAGGCAAAGAAAACACAGAATAACGGGTCTAGATGAAAATGATGAAATACAGATAAATAAGTCAAAAATTCCTACACTGTTGATACAGATGGATCATGATTTTGGTTTGAGTTTCCTGGCAGCCAGAGGAAAAAAAGAAACAAGGTTAGTCACTTATTTTTCTTTATTCATAAGGGGGAAAAACGTAACAATTCCTTAGGTGAAGCAAAGACAGAATTAAGATCTGTAAAAAATCTTCTCGTGCAGATAAATAATGATACTTGAGGTTATAGCGCACAGAGCTCTCAGCAATATCCCTACTGTGATTCCCAAAGGGCATAACTCTCTGTGGTAGTTGGACTATCAAAATGTCACTCTTTGAACTGGATTTTCAGCGGTGTGCTGGAGCTGGTCCCTATGGGTGCCCAAGAGCTAATGGTGCACATCTCTTCCCAACTGTGCTTTCAGTGATGTCATGTTGGTAGCTTGAAATAAACTATGGGAGTATTGACACAGTTGAAATTGGCATGTGCTACACATCAGAGATTTTTTTTTTTTTTAAGAGAGAGAGGGGCGCCTGGGTGGCTCCGTCAGTTAAGTGTCCAACTTCAGCTCAGGTCATGATCTTGCGGTTTATGAGTTCAAGCCCTGCATCAGGCTCTGTGCTGACAGCTCAGAGCCTGGAGCCTGCTTCTGATTCTGTGTCTCCCTCTCTCCCTGCCCCTCCCCTGTTCACACTCTGTCTCTCAACAATAAATAAATGTTAAAAAAAAAATTTTTTTTTAAAAAGAGAGAGAGAGAGGGAGGGAGAGAGTTTACCAGTACACCACTGGGGATTTTCCATCTCCAAATCCACCACTTTAAGATGTGGTTTTTAAATGTTCTGCATCAAATTAAGAGGTTTCTCTGATTCCCTGACCTATTGCTCTTAACAAATCACCCTGGCTGATGCAGAGGAAGCTGTCATCTGGAAAACAGAAACATGCCGATTATCAAGGCATGTTACAGTCAGGGAAGTTTGAGGTAACTGATAGAGGATATTAAACACAAAATTCAATCCACATGCCTAAAACTGCCAAGTACCTTGAGAAGCCCAGCAGAGAAAAACATGAACTTTGAATCTGACATGAAGTGGTGTTTTAGGAATGATGTAAAACAAGTTAATCCGATATGGCTCCCCGCCCCTCTTATAAAGGTCAAAACTGGGTAGCAGCCAACCTCTTTAAATTAATCCTCCAATTGCTTTTTTCTAATGCTACTCCTCCTGTCGCCAGTTCATCTCAAACAGGGAAAGGCAGAAAGGCCATATAAGTGCACATCACATCTCAAAAGGTTTTTTTTCAAATCATGATTGCTGTTCTTCAAAAACTGGCTATACTCTTTCATTCACTTCTTCAACAACAATTTATTGTTGAGCCCCTACAAGCTGCCAGGCAAGATGCTGGGATACATAAAAGAATATAACCCATCAATGCCTTCAAGAAGCAATCAAATCAATGGGATCCAAATAGATTATAATGCATAAATCAGCGATAGGAATTGAAAGCAGTTTTTTTTAAGTGTATTTATTTTGAGACAGAGTGCACAAGTGGGAGAAGGGCAGAGAGAGAGAGAGAATCCCAAGCAGGCCCCATGCTGTCAGCATGGAGCCCCACACGGGGCTTGATCCCACGAACCGTGAGATCATGACCTAAGCTGAAATCAAGAGTCGGACACTTAACTGACTGAGCCACCCAGGCGGCCTGAGCAGTTTAAATTGGCAAGAAAGGTGAGTGTGAAGGTTGGCTATTTGGTGGGTGGAGATGAAGCAAAAGAGGTAGTTAACAGAAGCCAGACTTTGAAGAGCCTTGAACATGACAACAAAAATTTAGGGTTGGGGATGAGTAGGAGTACATAAGAGTCTCTCCAATGTATGAGTTCAGTGGTGGGGTGGTATTGACATGAACTGTGGTGTAGACAGTAAATTTCAGATACAGAAGTGAGGTGCAGTCTGTGAATGATGACTGATGGTTTGAGAAGAAGATAGGATGATTCCTAGGAATCCACCTTGGCTGAACAAGTGGAGCCATTTATAAAGCTAGGAAGAAAATGGTTACATTGAACCCCTCAACAGTAGAAATGCAGACCCACCCTTTTTTCGGGCTCTACTATAATGGCATGCTTATCTTCTTCTGACACAAGAACACAGGTGGCAAAGGATGACTTTAACATGTTAATAACCAGGTCATTGGAGAGGACATCCAGCTTCTTCACTTGGTCACCTGTCACGTTGGTAGAGCCAGCAATTCCATAGCTAGAGGAAAGAAAAGCCACAAAAATATAAGCCATGACCACCAGAATATGCTAATGCACCTATAAACCCATTGGAAACGGGTATTAGTAGGATTTAGAAGACAGGAAGGAAGACACATGGTTTGGGAGAAAAAAAAAAAAAAAAAAAAAAAACAAGAAGAACGGTCATCTCCCTGGATTATTCATCTGTCCAGTACCTATCAAGTTTCCCAGCACACGTCTGTGGTTACATCCATGTTTCTCAACCGTTTTTTAATGGCCCCTAAGAAGGCTTTTTAGCTTTTTTTCCTAATCACATTCCTCCATGAAATTTTAATTTGAATACTACAAATATAGTGTATATCTGTGCTTTATATATTAAAAAGACTGATCTTTCTCACTTCCCCCCAAAACCAATCTTTACCTCCCAGAAGCACAGGTTTAATGCAGAATGAATCTGCTGAGAGGTACAGCAGGCAAGGGAAACTTCTGGGGGGGTGGGGGGGGGAGGGGCAGGGAGCCTTAGATATGAGCAAAGACAAGGGATGCTATGATTTTAGAGCTGTAAAGCTCCTGAAAGAAAATATTGACTGGTCGCATCACCTCATTTTATAGAGAAGGAAGCTCACACCCAGACAGCAACAGGCTTGTCTGAACCAGAGAAGCAGAGCAGAAGTGAGAAGCTGCAGGAAGTGGAAAATCTGGAGTTTCTACTTTATTTTCAAGGTACCTGTAAGTCAGTAATTGCAGAATTCCAGAAGCGGAGTGGCTTGTGCAAAATGCAGCCTAGTTTGCTAGAATGAAGTAAGAGGCAGGTTGTTCTAGCCCGGTGTTGAGCAGGAACACTGAGAAGAGGGAAACGTTTTGGAGAAAATGCACAGTCCAAGAGAAGAGATTGCGTGTGGGGAGGGCAAGTAGGAGCGTTGAAGACACCGCCAAACAGCTGAGAGTGGGTGACAAGGGGCACAGTGGCAGCCCTCGCTGAGGCTGCCAGGAGCACTTGCCTGGGAGCCAGTGGTCCCAGGAGCCCCTGCTTCAACTCCTGCAAATGCGTTTTCTCTAAACAGAACTCACATGTCTCTGGCTGGACGGACAAACCTGAGCCAACACTGGGAACCGTGCCACCCAAAACGCCTGGCCTGGCCTGACCTGGCCTGACCGTCTCCAGAAGGTAACTCCGGCTTCCCAGCAAGCCCACCATTCGTGCCGCCTCAATGTCATTCACCTGCCCACCTGGGGATGGTGTCTCATCCCACCAGCCCTCTGCCCACTGCCACCCTTCCCACCGTGTCGCTCCTCGTTCATGAGTCAAAGACCGAGGGATCTGTCAGACCCACAGCTGTAGCCCGTGGTCCAGGCGTTGGGTCCTCTCCCCACATAATCTTTCTCTCACCTCAACGGTGAGGCCGATGCTGCTGGAGAAAGAAGGCAGCCAGATTCTGGGTGGAATGACAGGGGCTTGGCAGGGCCACCAACCCAAATACACCTCCCTCCCTAGCCCCACTGGCCCTCACTGCTGCTCCTTCTAAAGTCACTATGAATTCAGGCAGGCAAACAGGCTGTGGAAAGGAACCTGAGCTCTCTAACAGAGACCCAGCTCACACCTCACCTCTGCAAGTCGCTTTCCTCTCTGTGCCTCCTTTGGTGTATGAGCCCACTGAGGGCAGTGATACCTTGTGCGGTGCTAGAGGATTCCATGAGATGAGGCACGCAAAGGGCTTAGCACAGCCTTTGGCATGTAGTAGTAAGAAAAAATGTTAATCATCTTGGTTGCTCTCTCAAGGGAGCCCTCATTAGGGATCTGCACCTGCTGAGGGAAGGGAAGCGGGGGGTTCGGAGAGCCCCCAGGCTTCATCCCCCATCATGTTAGCATGGATGGTTTATCCTTCACTCCTGTGAGGAGGACGACAGGGGTATGTTTTCCTCCATTGTGTCCCGGCTTCCAGCACATAGTAGGCCCTCAATAAACACTTTCTGCATGAATGAATGGCATACACCCAGGAGAGCAGAAACCTGAGCCTGAAGGAATGAGTATAGGAGCAATGGACTTTCAAGGTCATTCCACACCTTAGAATGCCGGGGAAAGCCACTGGCACGGTCTCCAGAGGGCCAGGCCTATGGGGACAGCTCCACAGAGGCCTGGAAGCCTGGGGCAGAGGGACGAGGCACCTGAGGTAGTCATGGGAAAGGCCTATTTCACACTTCGGCCTATGTCCCACCTGCTCAGGTACCTCGTCCAGCAGTATGGGGGAAGAAGAATCAGACTCCAAGGCTTCCTAGAGGTTCGTGTGAGTGTCCATTCATTTCACAATATTTATCATGCCCCCAGGAGATGTTCTGAGTGCTGGGGGTACAGTGTGGAGCAAGACAGATGAGACCACTGCCCTCATAGAGCTTATATTCAAGTGAGTGAGACAAACAAGAAACAGTAAGTGCTCTGGAATGGTCAAGACCACCAGCCTGGTTCCTCACTGCTGCCCCAAGTGTTAAGCTCCTGTTCTGGGTCACAGCGGGTGACACCACCTCTCTGTAACGGGTGTCAGGTACGCCATATAACACTCTGGGGACACGTGCTACACCTGGCACTGAAATGGCCATGTTCCCTGCCAAACCAGTGCAGGTAACTGGCCACCTCTCTGGCTCCAACTCCCTGCAAGGTTGGGTGGTTACCTTTCCCTTTCTCCTCTTTACGCCATTGAGGGTCCCTCCTCTGTTCTAACGAGAAGGACCCTTTCCCAACTATCCTCCAGTTGCTTGTGAAACATGAAAACAAAATATATGGAGATATAATGTTCTAGGCCCCTCAAACTCAAAATTCAGGTACTTTACAACTTTCTTAGGTCATCTTGTGGCAGGGTTTCCCCTGGTGACGCCTGGTGTTTAAGAAAGTCTTTTATAAAGGCATAGGAAAGTGATTCTGAGGTAGAATCAGGGTTCAGGAGAATGAGTTCCCACACTGCCGCGTTGACAGTAATTACAACCAAGTTCATATCCTATCACTGGGTGTTCTTTGCGTTTTGTCTTAGCACACAAAGTTACCCTGACTCGTGTTTGTCCCCTGCATTATTCCGCTCAGGGATGATAAGCCAGGCAGGACAAATGCTCAGTCGGGCTTCTCCCCAACACACCATAGGAGGGGCCCTCAGAAGAGCTGCAAGATGTCCCTGAGGGAACACATTTCCACAGCCCAATGAAAAGCCAGAAGCATGCAGGGCTCCCGCAACTCTGACAGAGGAGAAACGTCCTCAGAAATACCCTCAAGGAACTAATTAGCTGAACAACACATGGAGCTTATTTTCTCCCAAGTTTTCAGAAACCCTCTTGAAACAAGAAATGTCTGCCTTCTGATCAGTCATCATTCCTCAAAGGCCCCAAAGGATAGATGACAAAGAGCCTTCACTGTGTATTCCGATGGCCACAAGGAGAGAGCAGCGTCACCCGCCTTTGGGATGGACAGCAGATGTGGGCCTTGGCTTCTAGTGAGGCGGCCCATGCCTCTGCCCGGCCACTTTAACTAGGGCTTGGAAAGTGAATCAACTGTGTTCCCCAAACCAGAATTCTAGACAGATTCCAGAAGAGCCCAGCAGAGGCCAGAAGCCTAGCCTGGTGTAGAAGCAACTTTCGTGCCAGCTGTTGTGAACAGGAGGGCACAGAACCAACTACCCTTTCACACACCACGAGGCTCTTTCTTACATCAGTTCCCAATATGCAGTTCCCTGGGGCCAGAATCAGGCAGCAAATGAGGCTGCAAGGTTGTGGGGAAACCATAATACAACTCTGTCAAAAAAAGCCTTCCAGAGTCCAACTATGCCTTACGATCAGTGGAGAAAGAGAATCAAGCCAAAAGGTGAAAAAATGGGTTGCCTTAAGCAAGCTGTAAACCTCTAGGCTGAGCTCCACCCTCCACCCCACACAGAGGACTCAGTTGGGCACTGATCATGCAGAGATGGGGTCATCAGTTGTGACCGAGCTAGTCATTTGATCTGCCAACGAAGCTTTTCCTAAATGCAAGTTATCACAGAGGGAAAGGGCACACACCATGGGCTTTAACTCCACGTGATGAGGGAGCATAAATCAAGCTGAGGGGCAAGCACCAAGTAGCATTACCCCCTGCCTTCCCCAGGCAGGATATGTGTGACATTCCTCAGACAATCCTGGCTGCCCAACAACAAAGAAAAGGACAGAAAACAGATGGCTGGACGGGTCAGAGTCTCCATCAGTTTACAAATCTCTTAGTCAATTACAAGAAAAAGGCAATTTTATCAATAGCCTAAATCTCCAGAAACCTATAGACTCCCTTTCCTGGAACCCCAACACCACCCTCTCCTCCATAGTGATGTGGGGGAACAAAGGAAGGAAGAAAATGGCAGATAAAATTGAATCTCCGTATAACCTACAGCCCATTGAGAGATACTTGAGGCAGGCAGAGTAAAAGTTTCTCCAGGAACTCCCTACTGGTCTCAATGTTAACACTTTGCTAGAGGGAAGAACAACCTTGGCCTGACAATAGCTAGGCCTCCAGTAATCTGAGTCTTTAGCATATGAAAATCTCTTTGGAAACTTCCCTTTTGACATAACCTCCCCCAGCCCCAAAGTATATAAAAAGCCACTCTTCACAGCCTTAGTGCAGCTTTCTGCCCACAGGTCCTGTCCTCATGCTTTAATAAAATCACCTTTTTTGCACCAAAGATGTCTTCAAGAATTCTTTCTTAACCGTCAGCTCTGAACCCCACCGTCACCCCAAAACCTCATCACACAGGCTAGGACTCTAGATTACCGGAGTTCAGGTCCTGGCTCTGTCACAGGCTAAGCAAGCCAAGGAAAGTCACTTAAAATCTCTAACCTTTGGTTCATCTGTAAAAATGAAAATTAAGTACATCTACTTGGTAATATATGGGGGAAGCGAGGGTCAATGAATTGATATAGGCTTAGAATAGAGCCTGGCATATATAGGTGAGTGAGCAAGAATTGGTATCATTCCATTCTCATCCCTAATTTTCCTTGGAAATAATACACCCACGC